CACTTCTGTAAGTGACCTGCTAGTTTATCCCATGTTCTGGATTTAAGTTTAAATTGGTCTTGAATTATTATCTCATTGTCTCATGTGTGCATGCTTTATACCCCAAACTAGATTAAAGGGCAAGGACCATGTCTTATAGTTTTTAACCACCCACAATGCTTGGCAGAATGCTGGACACCTAGCTGATTCAAGAAGTGTTCATTGGGAGGTGAGCAGAGAAGGGTTTGTGCCATAAATTCCATCTAAATAAAGACATGAGACTAATGTTTTAAATAAAACCCAAAGTAAACATCCAATTGAGTATTGTAAGCCATCTTGGAAGGTTCCACACTTGTCCCAGCATGAATGCTCTCACTGATACGTTTAAAATTTCTCATCCCAGCTTGTTTCTTGGGCTCTAGAAGATGCCTGGAGATGTCTGAGGTTTGGGGATTGGAGGGCTGGACAGCAGCACAAGATGGAGGAAGTTCACTGAAAATCGTCAAAGCTTTGCCGACAGGCTTGCCCAGATGCACCACTGATGGGCATCCAAGTTGCATGTGTGCACACACACACATCTATCTATATATACACACACAGATGGTAGGTAGATAGATGATCAACCTACGTAAGTAGATACACTGATCATCGATCGTGTCCCTTCTCTGCACTTCCACTGCAGTTATCATGAACTAAACCTCTGTCCTCTCCCTGGGGCACACCATTCTCTGTCCCATTGTTCTCTCTGTTTCCACACTGGCACTCTTACTTTGAGTTCATACCGTAGCAACAAGAATGGTCTTTTAAAAATGTAAATTAGAATTCTGATTCATGCTACAACGTGGTGAACCTGGAGAACATTATGCTAAGTGAAAGAAGCCAGACCCCAAAGGACAAATACTGTCAGATTCCTGGCCCTGCTCACCCTACGGCCTCTCCACTCACCCCTGCCTTTGTCCAGTGGGGCTCTGGCCCACATCGCCTCTGTGTTGTTCCTGGAACAGGCTCACAGTGTTCCTCAGGGCCGTTTCCCCTGCTGTGCCCTCATCTGGAATGCTCTTCTCTCAGAATTTTCCAACGCTCCCTATTTCCTTCAGGTCTCTGCTCAGCTGTTAGCTTCACTGAGAGAACTTTCTTCCTCATCTTATTTAAGAAGGATGCTCAACACTCCTCCAACAGAACAGTGGTCTGTCCCTCTGCCCAGCTTGTCTTTTCTCCATAAAAATCATCACTAACAGACATCATGTTGTTAATGCTCTTTGTTTATTGTCTGTCTCCCACCTTACAGCACAAACTCTCGGGGGTCAGGGCCTTGTGTGTCTTGCACTCTGCTGCATCCCCGGGATCCAGAACAACGCTCAAATGGTTGAATGGATAAAATAAAAACATGCCCTTATATTTACTAGTAAATAATCTACTTAAATAATAATTTACTTAAGATTTAAATAATTTAAAAATACCATAGCATATATCCTCAAAATAATCCAGGAATACAGTCATGGGTCGCTTAACAACAGGGACGCCTTCCGAGGCAGGCATCGTTAGGCAATTGCATCGTGGTGCGAACATCACGGAATGTACTTACACAAGCCCAGGCGGTGTAGTCTATTAGACAGCTAGGCTTCATGGTACTAATCTTATGGGACCACCATCACCTATGTGGTCCATTGTTGACTGAAACGTTGTTATGATGCACAACTAAATATCTTACAAATAATCCTGGGGGGTTGTCACGATATATTATACACCTTACATACAATCATATTTAATGTCTATTATGCTCTAAAATATGTGGTTATAATTCTCACAGCTCATCTTTATTGTGTGTCTCCAATGTTCCAGGCACTGAGGTGGGAGCTTTATACGTATTATCTTATTCACTCCTAATAATTGTATAAGTTACATAAAATATTCTCACTTTGTAGATGAGAAAGCTGAGATTTAAAGCAATCACTTGCCCAGCGTTACTCAGCTAGTGGCACTGATCTGAACCCAAATGGCTATCCACCAAACGGGCCACAGAACAGATGCTGAAAATCAGGGGTTTGCAAACATCACGATGAATCAGAATCACTTCGGGAGTTTCAAGATGATCTTCACGTCTCAAACCTAGACCTGTGTGTTAGATTGATATTTTGAACTAATAACTAATGAATTCTCAAACCTATTCTTTTTCTTATTTCCTCTCCTATTGAGTGACCTTTGCATCAGGTGAGGGCCCACAGATCTCAGAACAAAGAAGTCATTTAAAGCCCTAAATGGAGTTTTTGAATTCAAAGCAGACACAGCAATCAGAAAAACAAACCTTTCTGATCTCCTTTTGATTTTCAAAATCAAGCCAAATTAACCCCAAACCACTGATTGGGAATATCAGGATCCATATCTGCGAAAGGAAGGTTATCAGATTCGACTATAAGCAATAGGCTGGAAAAAGAATAGACAAGGAGCTCTTCCTCCCACCCAGAGAAGAGGTGAAAGCCCCCCAGGACTGGCTGCAGAGTCTGCCCACGTCCCCTCTCTCACCTCATCCCCATCGTGCAGTTGGCTGCCATCCTCGGGAATGCGGAGTGCTGAATTGGGGAAGCAGTTATCAGGGAGCAACAGTGGGGATCAATCCCAGTGGGACTCTGCCCCCTGAACCAGTTGATGAATCCACCTAGCTGGGCAGAGAGAAGCGGTCATGAAAGTCAGGCAGCTTCTATCTCTGTCCTAAGTGTCGCCTGAAAAAAGATTTTTAAGGAATGCCATGCTTTATTCTGTTCTTATCTTGGAACTCTAAATTCCAAGTTGATTTCTCTCTCCTGCTCCCTCCCCCACCACCAGCTTTTGTGTGTGAGTATGCGTCTGTGTCTTTTTTGAGGAAGATTAGCCCTGAGTTAACATCTGCCTCCAATCCTCCTCTTTTTTCTGAGGAAGACTGGCCCTGAGCTAACATCCATGCCCATCTTCCTCTACTTTACATGTGGGTCGCCTACCACAGCATAGCTTGACAAGCAGGGCCATGTCTGCACCCTGGATCGTGCGCACTTAACTGCTGCGTCTCTGAGCCGGCCCCTATATATGTGCTTCATACCTTGGAATCATTGAATACTTTCGATGAAAATTACTTTAAAAATGGAATTGAAAGAAATAAGGATTTGGCTTATAATCCTTGTGAATCTGAGCATGTTTTCACTCCCAATTCATGATGTGTGGTGGGCAGACTTCTAAGAGAGTATCCACACCTTTGCGGAATCCCCTCCTCTCCAGCGTGGGCCGGACCTAGTGACTTGTTTCTAAAAAAGTCATCAAAAGTGATGGGATGGCACATCCATCAAGTTACCAAAGGCTCTGACTTCTGTCGTGGTCGGATGCCCTCTCTTGCTAGGTTCTCTCTTGGCTTTCTCACTTGATGAAGCAAGCTACCATGTGGAAGAGCCTCATGTGGCAAGAAACCGCGGGTGGCCTCTGACCAACAGCCAGCAAGGAAGGCCCTCAGTGCAACCACTCACAGGGAAGGAATTCCTGCCATCAGCCACTTAAGCAAACTTGGAAGTGGATTCTCAGGTGGGCCTTGAAAGGATTACAGCCCGGCCAACACTGTGACTGCAGCCTGTGAGACACCCCGGCGCAGGGAGCGCAACTAAGCTACATCTGGTTTCCTGACCTACAGAGACTGTGAGATAATAAATTTTGTTTTAAACCTCTAAATTTTGGGGGTAATTAGTTACTCGGTAATAGATAACTAATACAGTTAGTTATGTGTGATAACTAAAGCAAACCTTAATCCTATCATACACAAGAAAATGAAATGCAGCCCTACTTTGGAAAATATAATAACCATTCCCTATCAGGTGATTGATAAGCAAGTAGGTATTTATTTTCCTTTGCGTGACTTTCATTCCTTTCTTGAAAAGGATTCATCAATGAGAAACTAGTATGGGGTTGAAAAAACAAAAGATAGTGAGTTTCAAAGTTTGGCTTTCCAGCATGAATTATTTCAAACTTCATGCACTGAGTGCCATGCTCAGGGTTTGGCAGGTGCCAAGTTTTGGTAAACGTTCCCAATAGCATTTTCTTTTTGCTCTGCACCAAATGACACAAATTTATGTTTGACCTCAATGATAATTTTGTCCGTAAGTCTATATTGTAAACAAATACCATTTGACCAAAAAGCAATAAATGTAAAAACAAGACTGTAGGCAGTTTTGGGCCTAGGTCACCTGAGCTTGTGATCCACCCTGTGGACACCTCTGCGTGTGCATGAGTGTGGAGTCCCCGTAGCAATAAGAATCTCTATTTTGCAAAGATTCCATTGTAAATCTCTTTGGGAATTCTCCCACCAATCGCGTGTTGGAGGAAAGGCTATAAAAGGGATTCTCTCACCTCATTAGAGAATTATAGTCCAGTGATATTAAAATGACGGTGGTCTAAAATGCCAATTACTCATTATTTCTTGCAAATCTTCTGTCTCACAAATCAAATTTGGGTTTGCCAATTAGGTTTTACTTAGCTTCCTCTGGTGTGATGAAAGACAGCTTCTACTGTGACCAGCTGCCTATGGAGGATGAAAAGCCTGGAAAGCCAAGAATAAATTAGCTTTTGACCAATGGTAGGCAGCTTGCCGTGGTCTTTGCCTCAGATAGATCTTTAGTAAATACAGACCCTTCATGGCTGGAAACATTCATCCTGTGCTGTTTGTACCCGATTCGTATTGTTGAATGGTCTTCCTCCGTGAACTCAATGTTTCCTGGGAGATAAGTGTTATGAGTGACTTATTAAGATAATCTCGCGGGAAAAATAAAAAAGAATGATTGCTCTTCAATGATGACACTTTGTTTAATGGGGCAATATTTTTCCTTACAGAACCTATTGCTTTCTGGCTCAGGGTAATGAGTGAAGGCAGGCAGAGCTGTAGTCTGACATCAGTTATCCCGGGGTGGGAGGGGTGGGACATTGACCCCCAACACCAGATGCAACTGACAGTGGGAATGAAGCTGCCACACTGGAATCGCTTACTATTTTTGTTTTTGTTTTCACAGAAACAATATACACCGCGAAATGTAAATCAGTGAGGAGGCTGGGCTAAGTTTCCAGAGGTTGGTATAAAAAATATTTATAAAGAGGATTATAAAGAGGATTTATAAAGAGGATTAATAACATCTAGACGATTAAGTAGGCTTTTTTCCTTCAGATCTCATAAGGAATATTTGTATTCATCTTCATGGTCATATAATTTATTGGGTTTATTAATAATTGCTCATTTTAGGAAATTTAGAGAATACAAAACATGCAAAAATGTGAAAACAAAAATGTCCCGTACTCTCACTGCTTAGAGATAACTGCTGTGTTATATCCTGGCATAAATATGTGTGTGTGTTTGTGCACGTGTGTCCATCTTTGCCACTTACAGTCTAATCCTAAACAAATGACTGAATCTCCCCGTGCTTTGACTTCTTCATCTGTGAAATGATGCTGATGATAGCATTTTCATAGGATTTTTGTGAAGGTTAAATAAATTTATACACATATATGCCTGGCACACAATAAGTAAAAGCTATTCTTCTCATGAATGCATAGTCTGATTCAAATTGAGATTATAGTATACAAATGTTTTTTAAAATTTAGCAATATTTTAGGAAAATTATTTCTAGTTCATGAAATAGTATTTTATGATACGATTTTAAATGGCTAAATAGTATTTTATCAATGAATGTATCACAATTAATTGAACCAATTCCTTCTTATTGGGTGTGTTATTTTTGTTATTATAGTTAAAATTCAACCTCTTTTTATCTCCATCTTCACCAAAGAGCTGACTGTTTAAAATAAAGATACAGAGGCGGGCGATTCTTGAATCAAATGGCATTTATGATTTAAAGACTTTTTGTAAATATTGCCCAATTGCTCACCAACTTATACCTCCCATGGAATAAACCAACACCAAAATCAAAAGCCTGTAACAATTTTATATGGATAAAAACAATATTTTAATTTCCATTTTTTATTACTAGTGAAGCTGATTTTTATGTTTATTGATCATTTCTATTCCTTTTCTTTCTTTTCGTTTTTTTGTCTGGATGATCATCACTGAAATCTTTATTTAATTGCCTTTAGATATAAATTTAGAGAAACTGAGAAAGAAGAAAAGAAAAGGAAGCGTTCTCTTTTTATATCTTTGATTTAGGACACTTGACAGCCACCTGCTACTCCATTAAAACACAGAGAAATTTAGTTTCAAAAGTTTTCAGCTTAACTAAAAGCTGACAAGGGTGATCAAATCAGTTAATGTCTGAACTGATCTGGTTTAAAAAACAGAAAGTAAGTGCGGTGTCCTTGACTTGCTTCCACACAGGGGCTCTCAATGTTGCTGAACTTCATTTCTGGAAGAAATTTTTCTTTTTAGAGAAAAGAATGCTAATATGAATATTTCCTTCATAGTCAGAGAATTCCATTTTGATGATTAAATACCTTGGTCTTTAGGAATGTTCTATGATTCTATGTGAAATATAACATAAAGCAAAACGTCACAGATAATATGATTACACAGAAAATTTAAGAGAATCTACAGGCAAACTATTTGAACTGAGAAATGAGAGCAACATGTTGGCTGAATACAAAACTTTTTACACAAAAATCAACAGCATTTCTATACACCATCAAACGAATTAGAATGTGTGATTTCAAAAGTTCATTCAACATAACAAAAAAAACTATATAGTATTGTTGCAAGATAAACTGAGACACATCAAAATTTTCAAAAGTTTATTTGACCATACATCAATTTGAATCAGAAGGTGCCAAACCAGAAGTGGTTAGGAGGGCTCCACCAATGGGAACTGGGAGAGAGGTTTTTATAGAGAAGATCCGGAAGCTAAGCAAAGGAAATAATTTGATTTGCTGTAGCTTAGGCAGCTGCCTTATTTGGGAAAGCTGAGCTGGCTGTTTGTGATTGGCCGCCCTTAAGTTTCATTTTTTTCAGATTCAAGTGCATTGACTCTGGCTTAGGTTTTGTTTGCTTGTAGGCCACCAGGGCATTAGAGCCACCTCAGTCTAATGGCCTCCTTGTTTAATTACTTTCACGGTACCTAGGAACAAATATAACAAAAGTCATTCAGGTCTATTTTGGAGTACATCTTAAACCTTTGATGAAGGTAGACCTAATAAGTGGAGAGAAACACCATGTTGTATGTGGAAAGACTCAACATTGTAACTGTTTCCATTTTGCCCAAATTAATAAATTCAATGCTAGTCTAAGAAATCCCACAAGTACTTTTCTTGGAACTTGATAACGTTATCCTAAATTCAGATGGAAGAGGGAAGAGCAAAGAATAGCCAAGAGAATTTTAAAGGAGAAGGAAGAAGTGATGTTTATTTATCCTACTAGATTTCAAAACTTTTAAAGTCATCATAAGCAATTCAGTGGCTATTGGTACTGGATTAGATAAATAGGCCAAATTGAACAAAATAAAAAAAAATCTAGGAATAGGACTAAGTTCATAGTATCTTATGAAAGGATGAGTTTGCACTATAGGTTCATGAAGAAAGGTAGCTATTCAATATATGTTGCTGAGACAATCACTATATATATGGAAAAAAGTAAAGTAATATTCTCAACTTGTACTTTTTTGCACAAAACTTTCAGGTATATTAAAGACAAATACAAAAAAGCCAAATTCTAAAACTTCCATGAGAAAAATGGGAGGCAATCTTTATGACATGAGGGTAATGAAGTTTCTTAAATAAGATACAAAATGCACAAACCATAACAAAAATATTGATCAATTTTTCCATGTCAAAAGACACCATTGAATGTGAAAATAAGTCACAGATTTGGAGAAGATATTTGCAAAGCATAGATCTGGCAAAGGGTTGATATGCCAAACACAAAAACATCTACCCCCTCCAAAGCAAAGAAGCACATATATCTATCATCTGTCATCTATCTATTTGTCTATCTATCATCTATCTATCATCTGTCTACCTACCTATCTATCTTCTACCTACTTGTCTGTCTATCATCTAACTATCTATCTATCACCTATCTATTATCTGTCTATCTATCATCTATCATCTAACTACCTATTATCTATCTATCTATCTTCCATCTATCTATCATCTATCTGTTATCTCTCTATCATCTGTCTATCTATCTATCTAGCCACCTACCTACCTACCTACTTACTTACCTACTTACCTACTTACCTACCTATGATTCAGAGAAGAAAGCGGAGTGGCTCATAAACACATGAAAATATGTTCAACCTCACTCATTGAACCAGTCAGGATCCACTCAGGAGACGTTAATCATACTGCTAATTTAAAGAGGGAAATTTTAATATAAAAGATTAACAAGTAAAAAGTGGTTAACTGCTAAAAGAAGCTTAAAAGGACTCTAAGGATACAGAAGTGGCAAATGCAGCAAGCAGCTCCTCCCTCTAAGCCGAGGGAGAACAAACAAGCAAGGAATTAAGAACTTAGAATACTCTGCCTCCCTCTCCTGAAGCTGCCAACGGGAAGAAACTTGCCAGAAGACCTGGGCTGGAACTGGTCCATAGTAGCAGCCAGCCAGGTGGCTGAGAAGCTGCGGCAGAGGGCATGGTTAAGCTGGGTCAGACCACGCAGGCCACGGAGGTGAGTACACGTGCCCAGGCCTCTTGCCTCTCAGTTTGCTGCTGCTGTGCTGGGCAGGAAAAGCACCCTGGCTGGAGGAGGGGATGCCCCATCCTCTTGCCATGTCTTGGCTGTACTCCCCCCAGTGACCTCTCCTGACAGAGCCTAACATACAAGGACAAATATGAATAGGGCACAGCTCCAGGATCACAGAGCAGAGCAAAAAAGGGTGGACTTGGAGCTGAGAGCCAGTAAATTGATAACTGCCACATTGTTAATCAGGAAAATGCATGTAAAATAACAAGGGGACACCACTCCCCAAACTGAAACAGAGGTGATAACACCAAGTTGGGATGTGGGGCAACGAGAGCAATCACCCATTGCTGGTGAGAATGTCAACAAAGCTATTTTAAATAACAATGTGTAAATTGAGCAAAGCTGAAGACGTGCACACCTTGTTGCCTGGAACGCTGCTCCTGGGAACATGCAATGGAGGAGATCTTGCACGTGTGTGCCAGATGTGTAGGATGATATCTATTTCAGATATATTTTTAATGACCCCAAATTGGGCACAACATAAACGTCTATCGGTAGGGGTATTTTATGGTAAATTGTGATGTTTTTTAGTGGTATTTTAACTATGCAGCAATTTGAAAGGATGAATTATGTCTACAGCTATCTGCATCGAAAATTTCCAAAACAATGTTGAGTTAAAAAAAAGAAAGTTGCAGAAGTTCTCTTTAATATGACATCATTTATATACATTTTAAAAACACACAAAACAATTCTCTGTATCAGAGATTAGGAAACTTTTCTCTAAAGGGCCAAATAGTTAATATTTTGGACTTCGTGGGCCACGTATAGCGTCTGTTGCACACATGCTTCTTTTTTCCCAACCCTTTAAAAATATGAAAGCAATTTTAACTCATAGGCCATACAGAACAGGCCACACTGGGTTTGGTGCACAGACTATAGTTTGCTGACCTCTGCTCTGTGATGTTTATGGAGACGCACACACGTGAAACATGGATGGGAAGGTCGAATAACAGCTGCGGCTCCTTCTCAGAGGGCCGTGACAAAGTCAGGTTGGTGTATTATGGTAGAATCCTAGTATTTGCTGGCTCTGGAAAGTGAGTATGTAATGTATGTCCCTTCCTGTCATCTGTATGTTTAATATATTTCATAATTAAATATAACTTGAAAAATGTATAATGAAGCCACGGGCACACATAACCTGCAGGCTGAGATTAGCGAAGCACAGGTAGGATCTGGTTGAAATAGGCAACTGAGAATTGTTTTTCTTTAATTTTTGTATTATTTCTCGAATACCTACTTTTAGAATTAAAGATGTGAGTATGTCTCCTCTGTAATATTAGTTTGTAGTTGTTTTACACAATATTTAGGAAGAGATAAGGGCAAATCTATTTAAGAAAACAAAACATGAAGAAGGTAAGAGTGGAGTCTAGAGATAGAAGAGAACATTGTT